AACCCGGGCCGCACGCATGCCAGGCGAGCGCGCTACGGCTTGAGCCACATCCCCAGCCCATCCACTGTGTATTTTTTAAATGGGATTGATCATGAGGGCACAGTAATTAAAATGAACAGATTTCATAGTGATGCACTGTTAGATTTGTTGTGCTGGGACCAAAATGCCTCACCAGAACAACTTAGGAGGAAAAGTTTATTTTGCCTCCTGCTCTCAGAGGTTCAGTCCATGGTGCACTGACTACATTGCTGTAGATTCAAGATGGGGCGGAAGAGCTCCATGCATGGCAGCCGGGTTTGGGCGAGAGAGCCAAGGGGAAGAACAGTCCTTCCAGACATGTATATGTGTGTCCCCAGCACTAACACAGGCGCTTTTGGGGACACCTCATATCCAACCATAATGTGTACTCTTTCTTTATTCAAACAGAGAGGAAATTCATGAACCCTTTCAACATGCCTAATCTTTATCAGAAGTTGGAGAGTGATCCCAGGACAAGGGCACTGCTCAGTGATCCTACCTACCGGGAACTGATAGAGCAACTACGAAACAAACCGTCAGATTTGGCCATGTAAGCAGAAGCAGCACATCAAGTCTAGAAGGGAACGATGGCAAAGGGTTCCCTGGTCCAGACTGCAGAGTTTCTGCGTTTGCTTTTTCTCTTCTGAGTGGCAGGGGTTTGTTTATTTGTGTATATGTAAGAGAGGGTTCAGAGGAGCACGTATTACAGTCATCTCAATCTTGCTTTGAATCTGTAAGGTCTCTTTCTTGCTCCTAGATTTTTTCAATTAAAAAATTTTTTTAATTTAAATTTTACCCCCCAAAATTTTTTTTTTCCCTTTGGCAGTGCTAGGGATCAAACCCATGGCCTTGTGCATGTTAGGCAAGCACTGCTCCACCACTGAGCGACACCCCCTGTCCTCTTCTAGGATTCTGACCTAGTACCAATCCCACCCTTTCCAAAAACAGTCCTGCTGTCCCTGTTGAAAACCCTCTCATCAGGGTTGAGAGGAGCACCTGGTTTGGAGATCGCTTATAGATCTTGTACTGAAATCTGTCAGTGTCTGAATCCCTGGCCCATGAGGTCAGATAGTGAGTTTCTTTTTTTGTTTGTGCTGGGGATGGAACCCACGGCCTTGTGCATGCTCATGCAAGGCAAGCACTCTACCAACTGAGCCTTATCCCCAGCCTGATAGTGAGTTCTGTCTACAGTAACTCATTTCTCTGTCTGCTCTGACCTCAAGTAACACTTCTGATTTTTGCAACTTCATTTTAGAGTTTTGAAGGGTTAAGTATTTTCCCTTTATGACTTGTGGGTAGAGTAGAATCCAGCCATCCATTGATGGGTGAGAAGCTTTAGTATACAGGAACCTGTTCGTAATGGGGGTTTAGGGTCAGTCATGGAGAGGAATAATGGCTATTTTTCTTCTTTTAAAAAATTAATACTAGGAAACTACAAGATCCCCGGATCATAACCACTCTTAGTGTCCTCATTGGGGTTGATCTGGGCAGCATGGATGAGGAAGAAGAGGCTGCGACACCCCCGCCTCCGCCTCCCCCCAAAAAGGAAACCAAGCCAGAGCCAATGGAAGAAGATCTCCCAGAGAATAAGAAGCAGGTCTCATTTTTCTTTATTCCTCACTGTCATGCATTTATAAACAAACAAATCACCTAGAAGCATGTACGCTAAATGGCAACAATGACAAAGGATAGCTCTAATTTTTTTGAGAGCTTGGTATGTGCTAAGTTTATTGTTGGTAGCTACTCAGGAGGCTGAGAAAGGAGAAACACTTCAGCCTGAGAGTTTGAGGACCACCTGGGCAACATAGCAAGGCATTGTCTCAAAGAAAAGGAAAAGTTGCATATAAAAACACAGCAGCCTGGCTCGGTGTTTACCTGTGTATCCCAGGCATGGGTTTACACACCTGTAATCCCCGTGGCTCAGGAAGCTGAGGCAGGAGGATCACGAGTTCAAAGCCAGCCTCAGCAACAGCGAGGTGCTAAGCAACTCAGTGAGACTCTCTCTCTGAATAAGATACAAAATAGGGCTGGGAATGTGGTTCAGTGATCAGGTGCCCCTGAGTTCAGTCTGGTAACACACACACACACACAAAAAGGGAAAAGACAAAAGATGAGCTTCACGAGATTTCCTAGTAATCGTGTATTTTGAAGCGTCTTGGTGTGGCATGTCCCCTRTAGTTAACACACTGCTGCCATCTGAAGAACTGGGCAAAACAGGACAATAAAGTTGAGGATCCAAGTCCCTGGCATGGTCCAGAAGAATGCTGTCTACATCAGTCCTTAGGCTTGCTGTCTCCTGGTTGGAAATAGTTTGTGATTGAAAGTTTGTCCACTTAGCAACACTCTTTGAGCAGGAGGCATGTGTCTGAACAATTTTATTTCCCATCTCGTAACGGCAGATTGTTGCCAAATTTAGCACCTTTAAATGGGTAAGCGTTGGTTGCTCACAGTGTCTCAGCTGGAAAAGGGCCCTCAGTGTGGGTGGTAGTAAGCTGTGCTGAAGTCTCCTCCTGCCTCCCTGGCCCCTTCCCCTGGTCCTTTCAACACCACCCCTCTGCTGACAGCTATGACCTGGAAACAGCCATGTGGCAGGAACCAGCCTTATGGCTACCTCTCAGCAAAACATGACACAAAATTTTACTGTCTTTGCCATTGCTTTGAGTTGAGGGAATTTCCTCTACCTTGAAGCCCTCTCCTTTCTGAAAGAGTCAGGAGAGTAGGTGGAAAATGCAGAGTATCAAGGGAAACAAAGATTTTAATCTTGATGGTAAATATGTGATTACACACCTGTAGCCATTTGAAGACGAGGCCTTTGTTATGGAGAACTCAGTTCCTTAGATGTGTTGCTTATACATGCATCTCAGTACCCATGGCAGGTGATAGACTCGCCCTTTGGTCTTCTGAGTTGTATTGGCTCAGCACTTACTTCTCCCAAACCCCCCATCTAGGCACTGAAAGAAAAAGAACTGGGGAATGATGCCTACAAGAAGAAAGACTTTGACTCAGCCCTGAAGCACTATGACAGGGCCAAGGAGCTGGATCCCACCAACATGACTTACATTACTAATCAAGCAGGTGAGGCCCAGAAGCCAGGGCAAGAGAGTTTGTGGGCTTTTTTCAGGGAAGAGGCAAGGACTGACTCTTTTCACCACCCTGCTTGGCAGCGGTATACTTTGAAAAGGGCGACTACAATAAATGCCGGGAGCTTTGTGAGAAGGCCATCGAGGTGGGGAGAGAGAACCGAGAAGACTATCGACAGATTGCCAAGTATGCTTGACCTTCTGGAGCACCTCAAGTAGTGTGAAGGGTTTGCTGTCCAGGCTTAAATATCCTCGCATGGGAGGAGGGTTGCTGGCCCTGAATGTATCACGTTAAGAAGGTGTTGGAGGGTCTGGGGATATAGCTCACTTGGTAGGATGCTTGCCTCGCATGCCCAGGTCCTGAGTTCGATCCTCAGCACCACATAAAAATAAAGAAAGGTATTGTGTCTATCTACAACTAAAAATACTTCTTAAAGGGGGCGTGGGCTGAAAAGGTGGTCACAGGATCCAGGACAAGGTGTTGCAAGGGCACAGTGCCAAGGCAGTAATGTAGGTCTTTTTCCTAGTTGTAAGCGTATTTTCCCTGCAGGGGCTCACCTCATCTCTGGCTCTGCCCTCAGCAAATACTTTTGTCTCTTTCATCTTAACTAGAGCTTATGCTCGAATTGGTAACTCCTACTTCAAAGAGGAAGCGTACAAGGACGCTATCCATTTCTACAACAAGTCACTGGCAGAGCACCGAACCCCAGATGTGCTCAAGAAATGCCAGCAGGTGAGTTGGAAAGGAATGGGGATTGTTGTGTGGGGGATGGAACCCGGGGTCTTGTACAAGTTAATCCTCTACCACTGAGCTGCACCCCCCAGCCATGTGGATTTTCTTAACAGTTGAGTGTCATTGCTATCACCTTAAATGTTTTTAAGTAGCAGCAACTCTGGTCATTTTACATGATACTGGCCTTTTCACTTAACATTGACATCCTGTAAGTTTGAGGCCAACATCAACAGTTTAGTGAGACCTTCAGTAATTTAGCTCAAGATCCTGTCTCAAATTTTTAAAAAAGGGTTGGGGATGTAGCTCAGTGGTAAAGCACCCCTGGGTTCAATCCCCAGGACATCCCCCCACCGAAAAAAATATCCTCGCATGGAAGGAGGGTTGGAGGGTCTGAGGATATATAGCAAACATTTGAGGGTCAGTGGAATAACTGTTATGGTTTTTATTGTAATTTAACAATCTATATTGACACTATTTGTCATAATTAACATAAGAGGGTAGTTTTATTCACAAAAAGATTGGTCAGGCCAGGTCTGAGGGCATATGCCTGTAGTCCCAGCTACTTAGAAGCAGAGACAGGAGGATGACTTGAACCTGGGAGTTCAAGGCCAGCCTGAGCAACATAGCAAGACCCCAACTTCAAAAAAAAAAAAAAATGCTGTTCGGATATTTTATCATTATCATATCATTTATCATTATCATTTTCTTTTTGGGCATATTTTTTTAATGAAGTGTACATCAGTACCATTCATTGTTTTATTGTGTGCCTTGATAATGAGAAATGTAAGATATTTCTTACGGTGCTGGGAATTGAGCCCAGGGCCTCAAGCATGCTAAACCCACACACTACTGCTGAGCTACATCCCCAGCCCAGGATTGTAAAGTTCCTAAAACAAAAATTAAATATTGCCAGCAGAACTCTAAAAATTAAAATCCCAAACACTTAGCTTAGAGTTTAGATGGTCATGGGAGTTTGAGTTACTATTCATTCCAAGGATCTTTTTTCTTAGGCAGAGAAAATCCTGAAGGAGCAAGAGCGACTGGCCTACATCAACCCTGACCTGGCATTGGAGGAGAAGAACAAAGGCAATGAGTGTTTTCAGAAAGGTACCCACACAGTGTTCGTGGTGGATGACGTGGGGGGTGTCCTGCTCCTGACTCGGGAACCTAGAGGCAGAGGGTGGCTTACTGCTTGTTTCAAAAGTCTATTTTCCTTATCCAGGGGACTATCCCCAGGCCATGAAGCACTATACAGAAGCCATTAAACGGAATCCACGAGATGCCAAACTGTACAGTAATCGAGCTGCCTGCTACACCAAACTCCTGGAGTTTCAGCTGGCACTCAAGGTGGGTCTGAGAGGCAGGCTGCTGCTCCTGTGAACCTTTGCAGGAGGAATGGGATCCATCTCCTTGTTTCCTTCCATCAACAGGTTGATGTTTTTTGACTCCAGATTTTCGGTGGCAGTACTTATGGGTATAAATCATGGGGCCTCTGTCTGCCCAGTACTGGCACTTGGTGTTAGTGGGTGGGAGTACTTGAGAGGGTGTTCTCACCACCTTCCTTGAGAACCCTKGTACTTGTTGCTTTCCGTTATCCATCACTGTGTGTGTGTCTTTGTGTGTCTCGGGGTGCTGGAAATCATACCCTGAACCTTGCACATACTAAGCAAGTGCTCTGCTGCTGAGTTATAAAAAGGGCCCCAGCCCCTTTTAACCAGCTCAGGTGCACAGGTCAGCAGCATGAAGTTCATTCCCAGGGCATTTTCMTCTCCTAAGCTGAAATTTCCCCTGGTCACCATGGTTTTTTAATATTCATCATGACTACTTTAGACACCTATCTGTTGATCACACATGATTTGTCCTTTTGTAACTGGCTTCTTTCACTTAGCACAGTGTCCTCTGGGTTCATTTGTTGAGGAGCACCGTATTGTTTTCCACCTGGCTGTGCCCTCTTTCCCTCGATTTTTTGATGTTCAGTTTAGCTGTAGGTAGGTCTGCAGTTGTCAGTCATATCARGTGTGTTCTCTTTGACACTGGAGAAGTTGTTCTATGTCATTCTGACTACAAGTCACTCTGTTTTTGTTTTTTCCTTTTGAGATAGGGTCTCACTAAATTTCCCAGGGTGGCCTTGAATCTGGGGTCCCCCTGTGTACCTGGGATTACAGACATGTGGCACCACACCTGGCATAATTTTTTATTTTGAACATATTTAAACAGAAGAATACAAAGTGAAAGTTTCATGTATTCTCCATCTAAATATTGTCACTAGCTCAACCATTTGTGGAAAAAAATGAGGCCAGGCATGGTGGCACATGCCAATATTCCCAGCTGATCAAGAGACTGAGGTTGGGGCTGCAGTCGTGGCTCAGTGGTTGAGCGCTTGCCTAGCATGTGTGAGGCACTGGGTTCGATTCTCAGCACACATAAAAATACATAAAGGCTTTGTGTCCATCTACACCAGAAAATATTTAAAAAGATACTGAGGCTGGAGGTCATTTGAACCCAGTAGAGAACCAAGACTAGGGTACTAGCCCTGTGCTTGAATGTTCATACATCCTGCTTTCTTGCCCGTCAAAAAATATGTCTTTGGGCTGGGGATGTGGCTCAAGCGGTAATGTGCTCGCCTGGTGTGCGTGGGACGCTGGGTTCGATCCTCAGCACCACATAAAAATAAAATCAAGATATTGTGTCCACCAAAAACTAAAAAAAAAAAATTCTCTCTCTCTCAAAAAAAAATGTCTTTGTGGGCTGGGGCTGGGACTAGGGCTCAGTGGTGGAGCACGCACCTGGTCCATTCGAGGTGCTGGGTTTGATCCTCAGCACCATATAAAGGTAATAAAATAAAGGCATGTGTCCAACTACAACTAAAAATTTTTTTAAATATACGTCTTTGAGTTTTGAACAGGTATCAAGTCTCAGCACTTAAAGGGGTTGTTATATTCTCTATAGAACTAGGTCAGATACCTCCTTTGTTCTTCATTACATCAGCCTTGTGTAGAGTCCAGCTGTCATTTTGTGTGGGCTGGTGATCTGGAGTGGTCTCTCCTGGTGGTGTCGCCCCGCTTTCTCCTGTCTTGCTTCACCTCTTAAGTAACCCAGGGGCCAGGACAAGCAGGAATGGCAGGGGCAAAAGCCACGCACGGCTTCTGTGATCGCTGGCCTGAGTGAGCCATGAGAGAAAGCCTAATCCCTCTACTGCTTCTTTCTAGGATTGTGAGGAATGTATCCAGCTGGAGCCAACTTTCAGTAAGTGCTTTTCTCCCTCTTCTCCTCTCCCTGGGTTTGATCAAAAGACTGAGGAGAAAGAAAGGGCAAGGGCTTTGGGCCCTTAGCATTTTGCATCATGTGAGGGGAGTCTGTGTGGGGGAGGTCTGGTGCCTTGGAGGCCATTGGAGGTTGCGCCTCACCTCTTGTTTGTCTATAGTCAAGGGTTACACACGGAAAGCAGCTGCCCTGGAAGCCATGAAGGACTACACAAAAGCCATGGATGTATACCAGAAGGCACTGGAACTGGACTCCAGCTGTAAGGTGGGCTGCCACTGGCCATTAGTGATCCCTGTCTGTGCTTTGGGTCTTTTCTGTTTGCTCACTGGCTCTGGCCTCAGGTTCTCCTCCCCTGTCCCTCCCCAGTGATCTCTGGTGTCTTGGACCTGTCATAGCAGGTAGCCAGGTAATGGCGATGCCCTCCCCTTTGTCTTCTGGAATACAGGAGGCAGCAGATGGTCATCAGCGCTGTATGGTAGCTCAGTACAATCGGCACGACAGCCCCGAGGATGTGAAGCGACGGGCCATGGCCGATCCTGAGGTACAGCAGATAATGAGTGACCCAGCCATGCGGCTCATCCTGGAACAGATGCAAAAGGACCCCCAGGCACTCAGCGAGTAAGCCAAACCKCGGAAATGGCCGGCCCTGCAGGATGTGCATGGGCATGGCGTGGTCTGTGTAGGAGGAATTGTGGAAATCGTCCTCAGAATTACTGGAGAGGTTGGCAGAGGGTGGCAAGGTAAAGGAGGGGCCTCGTCTGCCCGTCGTCCTGATGGCTCAAGCAGTCGATTGGAAAGATCAGTTAACCTGGAGAAAGGTCTTGGCTTAGAGCCAACCAGATGCACAGTGGGCCCTCTCCTGGCTGTGAATTAGAACTTGCTCCGAGAGTGAGGAAACCTTTTCAGGGTCAAGAATCACTTTAAGCCACTTTCTTTTTCCTCTTCAGACACTTAAAGAATCCCGTAATAGCGCAGAAGATCCAGAAGCTCATGGATGTGGGTCTGATTGCAATTCGGTGATGACTTGCTCATCTCTTCCCTTCACCCTCGTGGAAAGACGAGCTGGGATGGCAGCAAGCAGCATGGTGCAGGGGGAGAGGGAGGAAGACAGCCCATCTTTATATTTATACCTGCCTACGTGGAAGACACAGACTCATACAGCCGCTGCCTTGGGCCCTCTGAGCACTCGCATGGTCTCTCACTGCTGTCCTTGGGTTCCGTGTCTCCTTCCCCTGCCCCCTCAGTCGCTGTCTCGGCTGCTCCCCATAGTTAGTTATTTTTTATTTGGGGCAGTGGGCATATATGGGGAGGGGAGGGTGTTCTTCCCAACCTGGGGCCCCAACTGTCTTCACATTGTTAACTCCACGCCTTCTTCAATAAAACAAGCCAATCAGGTGTGGTGACATGTTGCTGTGGCCTTGAATGTTCCCCCCCCCCCCAAAAAAAAGGACTTTCTCTCATGGGTGACCCTGGACTGGTGGAGGTTTGCAGTGACCAGGCTGGAAACCTGAGCCTGGCCTGTTCTGATGGACCAGCTTTGGCTGGGTGTGAGCTCCACTCAGTTCCACAAGGTGGCTGCTAGGTGGTGCTGTTGCTCAACAACTGAAGGTGGCCTGCTGACTCCTGCCCAACTAAAGTGGCACTAGGTTTAGGTCACCTTTGGAATGATCCCTGTGCTGTGAATTCTCCATTCTTATCTCACAATCAAAAACCAACAACAGTTCTAGAGAACTGTCCAACCCAGAACCACATGGACCATGAGATGCTCTGACCCATAGAGAGCAGCTACTGTCAGCTGTTCCATTAGGTGCAAAAGCTGGTCAGTTTTCAAGAGCTTGCTCCTGGCATCCAGGAACTTACAACTAAGCTATACTTCATGTTTACAGCAAACTCCTAAAGCCCTCTTCCTGGCTGAGGAGGCCTCTGGCCGCTGTATACTTCCTCATTTGCTCCAAGAGCAGCTTCCTGGGCTAGCAAGACACGGAGGCCAGCAGCAGGCTGTACTTCCTGCTCCCCTGGGTTTGCATGAGCTGCTCTTCCCCTGGGAATCCCCAGCTGTGCCTCTGAGGGAGGTCCACTGATGTCATTTGGGTTCCCACCTACAACCCGAGTAAGGCCACACTGCCTCCCTCCTCAGGCTTAGGTCCTTGTGCCAGAGGAGTGGGCGGAAGTTAGGCCACAGATTCTCTCGGAGGTGACACCTGAGGAGTGATTGTCTGGTTTCCTTGGGAAGCACACTGGAAGTGGCCATATCACACAAGGYTGAGATGATGGCCAAGGGAGGTTGTAAATGGTCAGGAAGAAAATTTTCAGTACTGGAGGTAGAACACAGGGTTTCATCCTCCACTACGCTGCTGCCCTAGCTTTTTTTTTTTTTTAAGATTGTACTTGTAGATGGAGAGCATGCCTTTATTTTTATGTGGTGCTAAGGATCAAAGCCAGTGCCTCACATGCTAGGCAAGTGCTCTGCCACGGAGCTATAGCACCCCCACCCACTTTGAGATCTTCCTGCCTCAGCCTTCTGAGTCTTGATTATAGGCATGTACCACCATGCTTGGCTCAGAACAATTGCAGTTCACTGTTCACCTGGGCAGTTCACCTGACAGTTTGGGGAATAGAGGTTGTTCAGAAGTAGAAAACAGCACCACACTTTCCTTCAGAGGTCTTGGCTGATCAGGCTGCTCAGGCTGAGCAGACTGACCTGCTGAATTTCTAAAGGCCCTGGGTCCAAGCCTTTCGCCTCCACGGCTCTCCCACTGGCAGCCCAGGGATGTGGCTGGAGGGTAGAACCTCATGCCAGCTGGAGAGAAGCTGAGCTTCACGTAGAGGAGGCCAGCCGTCAGCACCACACCCATCAGGGGCTCCTCCAGTCTAAACCAAGTTTCCCTCCAAACGAAGGGGGACTGTCTGTGGCTTAGGGTCCACGGGCCTTCCCTTGCTTCCTGTGCGCACTGGGGACAAAGACAGGCCTCACTGGAGCCCTCTGCGCTGCCAGTGTGCTTCCTGCACCCAGGGCCAGCCCGCCCTGGGGAGGGGCCAGGCCCGCCCTGCTGTGATAGGCGACAAAGGCTGCCCTCTGAAGGAAGCTCCCAAGACCCAGAGAAGGAGCCTCCAGGTCGAGGTGTGCATCCGAGGCCAGGGGTGGCCAGCGCTCTGCCTTCCCCTGCAGCCCAGCCTTCCTCAGGCCAGGTAAGTTTTGGATGCCTATCACCATCTCTCTGCCGCTGCCCTCGCCACCCTCCTACAGCCCCACCAGCCCGCTTCACCCACGCTGCAGCCGCCTGGGTTTGGGCCTGGGCTGTGGGGAGGAGAGCCGTCCTGGGGGCCCAGCCCTGGCATCAAGTAGGATGGCCTTGGGTGAGATCCTCCCTACTAGACCTCAGTCTACCCATCTGTAAGCTGGGAATGGGCTGGACAGGATGGTCTCCAGGAGTCCCTTCCATTCAAGCCCCTGTGACAGTTTCTGAAGTCGGCTGGATCATGGTGGGGCTCCGCATCCTGCTGCTGCCAGGGCACGCTGTTCTATGGGCTTGCTCCTCGCCTGTCACCCACCCAGGTCACCACAGGGTTTCTGCTTAGACACAGGCTGAGCGCTGCGGCCTTGCCTCCCTCACCCTCTGCAGAAGCCGCGGCAGCCATGGCGGGGATGAAGACAGCCACCGGGGACTACATTGACTCCTCCTGGGAGCTGCGGGTATTTGTGGGTGAGGAGGATCCCGAGGCTGAGTCCGTCACCCTCCGGGTCACAGGAGAGTCACACATCGGAGGGGTGCTCCTGAAGATTGTGGAGGAGATCAGTGAGTGCCACACAGCCCCTCCTGCCGACTCAGCACATGGGTGACAGCAAGGGTGTCTCTGGGCACTTCCGGGCTGTCCCTGCTGCGCAGCTCCCGATAACCATGTCACGGTGACTCAGACACCAGCTCAATCGTTTGGTTCCAAAAAAGACATTTCACCAACTTCCCCTCTCCCCCATCCTGGCTCCTTTCTTCCCACTCCAGCGGGCTCTGCCGAGTGCCCGGAGTCCCCCACTCATCCGCTCTTAAGGGTGGACGGCAGGCCTTGCCTGGGCCCAGGGCGAAGTCACAGTCTGAGGTCTGAGGGAAGGCCAGGGCTCCTGGCGCCCAGGGGACCTGCCCAAACACTCCCACCCCCAGCAGAGCCCTTAGCAGGCTGGTGACAGACCCAGCCTGGGTGGCTGGATGGGAAGGCCCTGCCCCCACAGGAAGTTACGGCAGCTTGTGGTTTCAGTCTGGAGAGATGCAGGGCCGTGACATGGGGGCTTCTCCCTGTCCTTCCCTGCCAGGGTCGGGGGCTACCCTTTCCTGGGAGGACAGCAGGACACTCTGATAGTCAGAGCAGGAAGTCCGGCCAGGACAGGCGCCTGGGGTGGGGCGGGGACCCGGAGGCTCCCTCAGGCCTGGCCTACGGGCAGCCCTGGAGGGGTTGGAGCACATCGGAGGGGTGCTCCTGAAGATTGGGCACAGGAGAGGCCCCGGGATTGCCTGGCCACTGGGCTGAGGCAGGGGGCGAAGCTTCCAGGGGCCCCAGAGAGCCTGAGAGCACAAGTGGGGACTGAGGTCCCCTGGGAGACTGGGTGTCGGACGGAGGCTGARGAAGGCCAGCCAGGACAGAGGGGGTGAGGGCCAGTTTGTGGGAACAGCAGGAGGCCCAACAGATCTGCTACTGCTGGGCAGCCCCAGGCAAGTCCTATAGCTCTTGTCCCAGCGCTGGGGACACTGTCCCACCCACCCCACTCCCAGTCACCCCTAAGTGTGATGCACAGGAGAGCCACCTCCAGCCCAGCGGGAGACTTCCCAGGGAAAGCCACTTCAGACAAGTCCTGAGAGGTGGCCACAGTGGGGAGAAGCTGGACAGTGAATCCGGTGCTCTGAATCAGGGCCTGCAGGCTGGTGAGGACTCCTGGAGCATGACATGACCCGACACCAGGCGGGTGGCCCCTCGGTGGTAGTCCCAGAGTCCCCGAGGCTCCTCAAGGGGCCTGGGCCCCACCCTGGAGGTGAAGCGCAGCCACCCAGCATTTTCCACAGGGATCACACACTAAGGAGGACCTGGCTCAGAGCCCTTTGGCAGCTGGTGGGGCAGGGAGACTCCAGGGGGCCCTAAGTTGTCCCAGCAGGAGGTGATGAGGCCTGTAGGAAGGCATGGTAGATGGCGAGAAGGTAGGGTGGGAGCTGAGGCTGAYGTCAGCGGCTAAAGGTAAAAAGCATGATGCTTGGGCCTCTGGGAGAGTCTCGTCACCAAGCACGCGGATTGGCACAGAGGAGCTGGTGAGGAGGGGCATCTCAGTCCAGTGCAAGGTTAAGCCCTCTACCTCAAAATCTGGGACTAGGAGTCACTGCATATGTAGCCCCAATGTTGGGCACGTGGCCAGGTAAATAGAGGTGTCTAAAATGAAGGAAGCCACTGGACATGTCCCTTTGCTGGTGGCATGTGAGTTTCTGGCCTGAGGTTAAGGACAGAGTCTGGAGGGGGCATCCATGCCACTGGAACTCCCAGCCATGGAACAGGAGAGGCCTCAGGAAGAGGGCCTGGCTGAGGAGGGAGGAGGTCCCCGGCTCTGGGGGAAGGACGGGGTGGGGTCAGGAGAGCACAGGAGGAACAGGAGATGGTGTCAGAGTGAGGACACGGACAGGAGGGCCAAGGCCAGAGGGTTGACCAGGTGGACAGAGAAGCTTCTCCTGGGTTGGCAAGACTGGGGAGGCAGAAGGTGGGAAGTAGGTGTGAGTGGAAGGTGGGGACAGGTGGCCATAGGAGGAGGACCTGGGAGAATCCGAGAGGGGCTTTGCAAGCTTGAGGGGACCGAGCACCCAGAGCAGCTTTTTGTCACACTTTGTTTCTGTGCTGGTCTCTCAGTGGTTCTCGCTCTTGCAGGATGGACAGAGTCCTGTGCCATCCATTTCTATGTCCCCAGTTTCTGGCTGAACGATGAGTGACGTAATCATAATTCACTTCTGTATGGTCATGTGCCTGCATAAGTATGTCACAGACACTCTGCTCCTACCGTGGAGCTGGCACTGGTCCTGGTTCATGAGTCGGGGCGACTATTACATTTTTTTTTTTTTAAGAGAGAGTGAGAGAGAGAGAGAGAGAGAGAGAGAGAGAGAGATAATTTTTAATATTTATTTTTTAGTTCTCGGCGGACACAACATCTTTGTTGGTATGTGGTGCTGAGGATCGAACCCGGGCCGCACGCATGCCAGGCGAGCGCGCTACCGCTTGAGCCACATCCCCAGCCCGACTATTACATTTTACAAACAGAAAACCTGAGGTCTAGAGAGGTTAAGTGCCGCGCCCAAGGTCACGCAGCTAGTAACCAGGACATGTGTACAGAGTGCCTGCTGCTCCATGCCATGCAGATCCCAGCCCCCAAGG